AAGAAGGAAAGTGGACGGGGAGGGAGAGGGAGAGGTGAGTGAGTCCGGATCCGGCCGTAAAGCCGAGCTGCGATATTTCGTGGGGAACGCTTGTGTCTTTTAGATCTCAGCGTGGCCGTCACGAAGATCGATACTCACAGGAGCCACTCATTGTCATCCAATTGTAATCTTGTGGCTCTTGCCTCCAAATCACTCGTCAGAACAGAGCAGTCAGCTTACGTGTACAACGGTTTCCCCCTCGAACTCATTAAGCAACAAAACGAAATGAACGGACACATCCATCAGTATACAAATTATATATTTGGGGACGCGGAGAAGAAGACGAAGCAGAAGTAGAAGAGGAACGAGCCGTAGGAAGAGTGGGAGTGGGGTGAGGAGACGGTACGAACGACCACCAGCATGAGCCCATACGGCCTAGACTCTTTGGTCCGTCCGCGCGGCGCTGCTGGGCAGGCCGGAACATCTTGTAAAGAAGTGAATTGTCCTGGCCCTGCTAAAGTTCCTTCGCTTCGACTTAAAAGCTCGTTCTTAAAAGCCACGGGATGGATGGGATGCGTTTGGCACGAACATAGAGTTCGATTATCCGCTTTCTACAACTCAGGTTTAGGATCTAGGCCCAGGCTTTGCGGCTACATATGCTCGTGGGCGGGCAGGTGGCTGGAGGACCGGAGGATGCATCCATCGGAAGGTCTAGAGCGGCAGCGGCTGCTGTACAAGGTTTCGCCGCTCTGAAATGGTGCCTCCGTGCCAGCAGGGCCCAGCTGCACAGCAACCTTCGCCTCATTTGACATAACACGTCGAGAGGTGGGGATCGTCATTGTGTCGTCAAATACACGAGCAGACCTACTGGTGCTAGTACAGACATCACTCTGATTACGAAAATCATTGGTACAAACCCACACACAGACGCAGACCCGGCCAGCCAAACAGTTACAGTCCACGCGAAACCAGATTTAATTCGCAGCAGCTGCTGCTGCATAATAACAAATCGATCGGTTGGGCAGACTAAGCGTCTGAGCATCATTGAAGAAACTCCTGGCACTGTGCTCGATCACACAAGTCACCTTGAACATGCTCCCCCGCCCCCATCTCTCTCCCTCTCGCTCCCTCGCTGGCATTGATTCGAATCGTCCAACTGAAGCTCGAAAACCGTCACCGTTTCCCTGCGGATGTTGTCATTATACACAAGCAGCAGAGTGCTGGGATATATGATTAAGTCAATTTCAACTCGATGGAAGCTTGGATAGGGTCATATTAGACGCCATGAGCACTGTGGATTTGTTTTTTCCTGCTCATGACACATTATTTATATTATTGCACACATCAATTCTGCCTATTAAGCTCTCACCAGGTGGTCTACATCCTTTCGAGTTCCTACCAGTACTACTACTAGGAGGAGTAGATCCCACTTTCGGCCTGTCTGCGCCCGGACCTTTTGACTCAGATCAAAAAGCGAATACACTGTGGATCGCACCCTTACTTCTCATATCCCCATTCTCACTACTTGCTTCTTCGAGGTAGAGCATCTGGTCCCATCCATGACTGCTGTTCACATGGAAATTTGCCCACTAGTGCGAAAGGTGGTGTTCAGATTACGTTCAATGACATGCAATTCCATACAGGAATGTTCAACTCTCTCTGGGGCTTCTTGGGCCTGGAATTCTTCGGATAGTCTATTAAGATGACTCTGTCTGTTGGTCGTTGACTTGCAAACAGTGAGTTCGGTAATCACAGGAACATCGTTGTGGTGGTGCTGCTGCTACGGATGTGACACTATAATTGGAAAGTCAATAATCTGCTGAATCCATAGAGAGCAACATTCTTATCCCTGTAACAACAAGATCGCAGACGGATGTAAACGATGAATAAACCAGCCTCACGACTGCCATGCTCAAACATTCTCTGGAAAAGTCAATTCAGTGTTTCATCTCATACCAAACACACGGGCAAAGAGTTGTATACAAATACACAAATTCAGTGTGTTGGTTGATTCTTGATTCGTACACTATGCTCGAATCGATATCCCCGATCGTCACACAAACTATGACGACCGAGAGGCGACGTGGAACCCTTGCAGTACGTACATGAGAATGTCAATAGCTTTGGTGGTTCAAGATTCCTCATTCAAAGAGCCCAGTCATGTGATGCTAATGCGGTGATGAACATACTCAAAAATCAGATTAGCTGAGTATAGTGAATGATATTAGAAATACCAATTTGAATCAATTTGAGCATGTTTGGAATCCAGAGTGACCAATCTGTCTGGAAATATGGGAAATATCAGGATTCAGTTTATTAGAACTTGGACATTCCCTAGAAAAGCATAGTCTCGTGAAATGTTCAAAGGGGTCCAAACTTCAAATCACAGTTGTCTACAAATCTGAGTCAAACTCTGATATTCCGAAGCCAATCGCCAACGTGTTATCTGCAGACCCCATGATCAATCAAGTAACCTCATCGTCGTGGACAGACCTGCAAGTGATATCAGCATAGGACATCTTCAGATTGTAAGAGAAGCTGAGTGCGACCAATAAATTAAACTCAATTGTCTAACCAGAAGTCAAACTTGACGAAAAATGCAGCCGTGATCATGATTAAGAACTACATCGCTTGCCGAGTATATACAAGAAACTCATTGGATTCCAAAGCCTGGTCATGACCTACAAAGCAATTCTTCAGATCCAAATTCAAGACAGACAAGTTCACAAGATGCTACACAGATAATCGGGAGTCAGGAGATGAGAAATTCAAATGAAAAGGAAATAGGATCTATATAGGATATTTTCAGATGGCCTTTACAAATTCCCGTGGCGTCAGTTTCCAACTACTCGTCTGTAAAGAAATCTAGGATTGAAATACCTTCCTCTAATACATGTTCGACGAGAATATGTGATTTGCAATTCAATACGAATAAAAGCTGTATTTACACAGTCCAAGCTCGAGATACAATGGAGATGTCCCAACTACATAGATAACGGCTTCACATCCCTTGTGTAGCAGAAAATGATGAAAAGACGAGGAATCATAACATATCCGTCTAATAAGCTACTCCAACTTCTTAATTTCTCCAACAGACATGTTGTCCACATGTCTTTCGACGTATACATGGATTAGAATTCCAGTCCTGGTGATCAAGTGACTAAATCTCGAACTAGTAATCCCATAGAATTGTCTCGAGTTTTCATAATCTTTAACTGTGGATTGCTAAAAATTGCTCACAGTCTAAAAACCCGAAAAGAGGCTACAAGGAGAACGATGAGGATTACGGACATTTCAAGTCACAATGTTACTTACTCACAATAAGAATTCGATCTGAAAATCACGGCATGGATAATTAGACTGCATATTATAACTCTCAGGAAATGCGATAGGATGATGTCTATCACATGACAATACTGTAAATCATCCTCAGTGAGGATGATCATGAGAGCCTCCAAGTATTTTCTCATTGAGACCATAATAACAGCTCATGACATGGATAATCCAAGTTAAATCTCGTTGACTCCAATACTCCAATGCTAGCCAGGATTAGTCTGCTCGATCTACAAAAGGTTTGATCACATTAGCATGAAATCAATCCCTGCAATCATTGCAGCCAATGTACACGATAATAAATTCCTCAGATCAATTATCTGAGGTCAATCGCTGTCAATCTGCTAGGATTCAAAGTCTTGATATCCTCTAACAGGATGATCCAGATATTTTGGTACTCCTGGCCTTGATAGATCTTCATGACCGACAAAGCTCTCCTTAATAGCACCGATCAAAACCGTGATTTGACCGGGCATCATGACTTGGTCCCTAAATCTCAAAGACACTCAAGGGATTCTGACTGAGATGGTCTGATAGATACCACGAGACTTGCAATTCAAATTGCAATCGTAATGGTCAAAATCTAGTCACATTGCCGGCTCAGATCTGATGACTGTGGAGGAAACATCAGGGCAAGGAAGCAGAAATTGATACGAACTCTCAATGATTGAGAACATCTACAAAGGCCACCACCGATTGTCTTCCTTCCTAGCAGCTGCGCACGAGCTTGTTGTCACCGGCAACATAAAAGGTCCACCTGACCCCCTGAGCGATGCATATAATTAAATTGTGCGGATGACACATCATTGCACCTACATTGAGCTCAATAATTGAGTCAGATAGATCTAAATCGCCTACCGACGGACGGAGTGTCATGGCAGATTAAAGGCCCCGTCTTCATAATGTACAAGAAATAGCCGGAATACAAGCCCTTCCGGATCCAATTGTGGGGTTTCCACCCACCAGGGCACACGGCCAGATTCAGATTTTCAGTCTCTGAAAGTGCGGGCATGAGCTTAGGAGGCTAAAGCTCAAGGGATCAAAGAATTGATGAGGGCGGTTACGAAGATTAGCCATGAGCAGAAGATCTAAGGCGGAATTCCGATGGTCCGATGGGATCCACACCCGTACCGTACCCCTCGCTCCCCGACTGACTGCGATGAGCGCTGCACGACTTGAGAACTGACAGGCTCTACAACATGCAGTACAGCAATCGATGAGATGCCCTCCATCCTGCGGGGGCGGGGTAGACAACGTACGTCGACATTAATGCACAAGATGCCCTCAGTCTTGAGAAGTAAAGCTGAGCTGTACGAGATAGCACAACGCATTGAGATCTACGGCAAATGCAACGTCATAACTAATTGGACCCATGATTACTCAAACGCTGCACTCACTCGAATCAAAAATTGCCAAGTTCCAGGGCCGGGCGAGAAATTCATGGCCGGCTCGAGCTCATCGCAGAGCCGAGCTCGAGCCGATCGATTGATGAGTGGCTGAATTTCCACGGAGCCGCAGATTCTGGACCCAGGCTATCAAATATTCGATCGCACGTCCGCCCATGCCAAGCCAAGGCCGGGCAGAGCGCGGTCTGCGGGAGAAATCGGAACGTGGACAATTCAAAGAACAGCTGAGAGATTAGAAGATATAAATCGGATGATATGCAGGAGAAGCCGGAGGCGGAAGCTAGAAACGAACTGCAACGGAGTAAAGGTCCCCAAGCTTTATTAGTAAGGCTGGATCCAGGTTGTGTCTAACGGAGTGATCCCTCAATGAACCTACGAAGATTAACATTATATCATCATCATCATCGTTGTCCCGGCCGACACGTACACGGGGTCCGGGCCGGGAAACAAATTGAGTGAAATCCTGATGAACTTGCAGCTCCGAGGTGGGACAAATCTTCCTTTCTATCTTGTGCTGGATCTGAAAAGGTAGCCGCACACTCATCAAGAAACTAACATGATTTGGTAGGTTCAAGAGATGTAATCCACCGGCAGTTACCTGTAAGCAGCTGATGTGCCCACTTACAAGCGGTGTGTGACAATTGCAGCGCATCCTACCAAGAGATTTGAACTACTGAGATCTCTCATTGACTGACGACTAGCTAATTGAAAACTTTCCTAACAATCTACGATTCTTCAATATTTCATTCCTGCCTAAACTTTTACAGAAGAACAATTCTCCAACCACTGCAGTTCCAGAGTCTTGGGAACTGCGTGAACTGAGTGAGTCCGAGGATGGCCCACTGCTTTGTACACTTGGTAGTGACTGTGAAGTCCTAGTTCGGAGCACAGCTTGCTAGCAATCGTGAATAGATCAATCGAAACTTCTTTGAAGCCTTTTATTTGAAAACTGAAGCAGAATTGCGCTGATGGCCAACCTCAGCCTTAGTCGGTGTACATCTCTCTCGAAGGGGAAAAAAACTTGAGTACACCTCTCAAGGGTAAGATGGCCAATGGCAGGCAAGGGTATGCTTCGCCGCTGTACAATCATTTCCGAGAAGCGTTCTTTGAACTATCAGGACTGCTGCGATGTAGAAATATTGGTATCACCCGTAGGACGGTGACGACGAAGAATGCTCTCCAGCTAACGGGCGGACGGACGGTCGGATGTCGGACCGGCCTGCCCGCTAGCCAGCGCACTTCGAGCATTCATATCGAGACTTGTTGCTTCCACCAGACCGAAGGTAAAAAAGGGCACTCGTCATCTTCTTCATCTCCTTCTGAGCGCTGGCGACTGTCGAATTGTCACGGAAAACGCATCCACCATGATGATCCGCATCGTATCATGGCTGGCTGTGTCTTCCTTCGATGGAGACCCACCCGCCGGTGCTGTTGCTGCTGGTCTGTCATGCCAGGGCGCAGGCATGACTGCTGCTGGGTAGCGCTCGCGCTCGCGGGCATGGTGTATTTCCGGAATGGAATGGAGTACTTCTTCTGGACTGATGGAAGAAACAAGGCGCACCCAGATCCCAAATAAAAATTAAAGTCACTCGCACAGAAGAGTTCAGCGACCCGGTATTGGTACATAATTGTGTAGGACTGGGCTGCTTAGACCGAGAGGCGGACCGGACGGACATTGAAGATTGAAAAAAAGGGGGCTAGGGTGCATGGAGAGCGAGACTCCAAATTTGTGTAACACGGTCCTCGCAAGAGGGAAAAAAGATTGGTTCAGCTTGAATGTAGCAGTAATAAACGGAGTAGCATCACTCACTCACTCACACTCTCTCACTCACTCACTCACTCACGGTAGCAGTTTGTCGACGACAATCCCCCCGATACTCACTCCAACGATGACTTCTCAACACTTTGATAGACATGGTACACATGGATTGGTTGGTAGTAGACAGCTCTAACTTCTATCTCGAAGCTAGCAGCTGTGAACTAACACACGTGAACGCTTCCGAAACCCTGACTCGAATACACTGGTACAGGCAAAGGAAGAGTCAGGATTTAGTGTTGTTGCTGCTGCTGCTGGTGTTGCTGCTGCTGCTGCTGATGATGTTGTTGTTGGTCATGTTGTTGTTGCAAGTCGGGGGCCGCGAGTCAACTGAGGAGCGGACCTGCCGTGTGATGTTGATTGTTGTGGTGGTGTTGTTGGAGCTCTTGATACGCACTGAGGGGGTTGGGCTGCGCGAACGGATTCAGAGGGTTGCTATTGGGCGTGTAGCCGTGGAGGAGGTTGCTGGTGTGGAGCTGCTGCGAGAAGGGCGAGAGGGGGTTGCTATTGGGAGTGTAACCGTTTAGCGGATGCGTGAGCCCGGGGTTCTGCTGTTGTTGGTGCTGCTGGTGGCTATAGCCCGTCAGCGGGTTCGTCTGAGCGTGGCCCTGCGGAAGCGCTTGTTCGGACGAGGTGGCGCCCGCCGGCGGGGGTCTCTTTCGCTTCTTCTTCTCGTACGCGATCCCTCGGGCCTTGGCTTGCATTTCGCGCACCTCGCGCAGATACAGACGGACGACGCGGGCGCCGAACGGATTGGACTCGGGCTTGCCTCCATTCTCCTCAAATGCCGCTCGCAGGCGGCCTATGAGCGCGTCCAGCGAGCCCCAGGCCTGGCGAAGCGGGCAGGGGCAAGGGTGCGGGGGGTTGGGCAGGCCGAAGAAGTGGCACGACGGTAAATGCACTTTGGTCTTGCCGAATTGATCCAGGTACCGCAGGAACTCCAGGACGTGATTTCCGCTGCAGCGCGCGAGGGCGAGAGGCGGTCGGTGATTCTTGAGGTATTGTCCGAACGTGTTCCAGTCCCGCCTCTTCTGCGACTCGTAGCGGCTCGGTGCAGCAGCCGGCTTCGCTTGCTGGGCCACCTCTTGCTCCACATTGTGGTTGGCGTTGTGCAGCTGCATCTGATTTCCTCCGGGTCCAGGTCCGCCCCCGCTTCCCGACGGCCCCACTCCATTAGCGAGGGCGCCCAGAGGGTCATCACTCAACATGAATAACGGATCTATTTTCGCTAACTTTTAAGGGGTAGGGGTGTTTTTGGTTTTCCGAGAGCTCGCGGATCGGATTCGCTCCCTCCCTCGCTCTCTCTCTCTACCTCTCTCACACACACACTCTCTCACTCACTCTCGTCTCACTGTCTCTCAATCACTCGCTCTGATGTACACGCTCTCTTCCGGGAGGAGTAGCGGGGACTGTTCTCGAGCCTGAAGCCCCTTGTTGCTGGCACCGAGACGAAGCTTGGAACCGACGAACCAGGTGGACGAGGAACGATCGTCCAGCACTGCGAGCACCACAACCCGAAGCTCGTATCAATGTAGGCTGCACCTGTTATAACTGCAGCGCCCAATCTGATGATGATGACGACGACGGCGTTTCCGCTTCGAGTCAACAACAGCTGCTGCTGCACTGATATGAACCCGTTCGCACCGACTGGCCGAATAATCCTCACTCGGATTGACTCATTCCATTTTCGCTCTCGCAATCAGTAATCAAGCTCGCATCATCGTCCGAGCCGCGGGGGAAGCGAGCTGGCTTCGCGCGTCGAACGCCTCACAGACCCGGCCTCGGACGACCGAGAGAAGGTCGACTGCTCGACTGCTCCGGTTCCCTTTCTCTCGCCAGTTTCAGATCTAATCGTTTGTTGGTAGGACCTACTTCCGAGCCCAGCTACTGCCTTACGAGCCAACCCTGTTGATGACTCCTGAAACAACCTGTGAGCTCGATGCTCGCTCGCTCGCTCGAACCAGCTAGTGTGCGTACAACTCCTCGTCGACCTCGCAAGATCTATCCCTATGTCGTATCACCGCCGATCAGGCCTGGTAAAGACGAGACGAAACGGCGGCAGGTAACCCAGGATGGAAGGAAGGACGGCACGCACGTACCCACGCACGCAGGCACTGGGGAAAGGGCCAGAAGGAAACCACAATCTCAATCCGATAGAGCACACTTGTCCAGGACTGGCACAGAATCGATCGGCAGCAGTAGTTAGCTAGCTAGCGCCTGGATGTCGGAGGATTCGTGAATCGCCGACTCGACGCTGCCACCATCAATACAATGTGAACACTACTAAGGTACACGGGCGGCGCTGCTGCTGCTGCTGCACTGTGTTGTTGTTGTTGTCGTTGTTGCGCAGCCTCATTGTCCACAGGAAGCGGCGTAGTTCTGCAGGAGGCAGCTTCGTCGAGCAGCCACCATGGAGTTGAGATTGCAATGAAATTTACTTCTCATTCCTGCGGAACCCCAAGAACTCTTTGTAGGAAAGAGAGACAGACACACACGCACACACAAGCACGAGCTGCTGCTGCTCGCTCGCTGCCGCTGCTGTCGTTGCTTCTTCTGCGCTGCTAAATTCTTTGTCCTCGCGAGGTAACACTGTAAGGTTCGGGAGGCACGGAGAACTCTATAATTAGGATTGACCTAGAAAAGCCAACAAGAAGTTGCAACTTCGCTCGCTCGCTCCCTCACGCTCGCTCTCGCTCGCTCATGCACGCATAGAGAGCCGAGAGAGAGGTGCGGGGAGGCAGGCAGGCGAGAGAGAGCGGGGGAGAGAGTGAGATGGGGGAAGAAGAGAGAAGAAGAGAGAGAGCTGAGCAGAAGGGGTAAGAAAGCCAGCAAGCACTACTACACCGCACTGCAGCAAAGATCAACAGTTGCGAGAGGGCGCGAGAGAGATGAGGAAAGAGCAGCAGAGAAGAGAGGAGAGGAGAGAAAGAAGAAGAAGAAGAAGAAGAATAGGAGAGGGGGAGAGGATGGGTGGGCGGGCCTAGGCAATATTGCTGACAAAGTTTAACCCCGAGGATGAGCTAGTAGCAGAGAGCACGTGAGGGCTTTTTGCTTGTTGCTTGGGGTCCGTCCTCTCTCTTGCGCTCGTCTCCTATACCACCACCAGCAGGCGGAGCTGAGCACAGCAACTCTTTGTCATGCTATGATCCTTTTATCCCTGCCAGAGCGAGAAAGTTATAGAAGACGCGAGCGAGCAACCAGGAAGCCGGATGTCTAAAGAAAGGCCCCCGACGACACTGTTCGTGGGTCAGGGTGCTGGTCACTCTCCCTCTCCCTCCCTCTCGCTCGCTCGCCTCCCTCCCTCTCCTCTTTCTCTCACGCCCTCTGCCTCCCTCGCTCCTCCCCCTCAAGAGCCCCGCCTTTTGCTCCCCTTGCCTTGCCTTGCCCCGCTCTCCTTCCGTTCCGTTCGCTGCTTTGCATCGCAATCGGTTTCCTACTCTCGCCGCTGACTCACTGACTGACCAACTGACTGACTGCAGGTGAAATCTCTGCACTCGACCCGACTCCCACTCCATTCCAAACAAACCAACAAACGAAAGTATGGGGTTTAGCTTAGCCATGCCTGTCCCTTTCGTTTCCTCGCTGCTGCTAGTGCTGAACCTCCGGCCAGGCCCGAGTCCTCTTCTGACTAGGTCAGGTCAGGTTAGTTCAGTTCTGCTGTGGTGTGTTCTGTTGCGAGAGGCGTTTCAGTACAGTACAATTTCAACACTACTCTACTCTGATCTGGTCCGGTCCGGTCCGGTCGACTGTAGTGGACTCTGGTTAAGTTGGATCATTCACTGGGGTTGGGTCGGTTCGGGCGTCAGAGTAGTAGTTTGAGGTCATGTCGAGGTGGTTGCTACTCCCCGTCCCTTTCGGCCTCAGCACACGCAGCCCCCCTTTTTTGTCCAGGAGAAGCGAGACCCTGACTGATGAACCGGTAGCCTGACTAACTAGACTACCCCTCTGGGTTCGGGTCGGGGCTGGGCTCTTGTTCTGGTTCCCCCTCCCGGTCAGTTCGGGTCGGTTCGTGCCGGGGGTCGGAGCGGAGTGGGGAGTGGTGGCGAGGCGAGTCGGGAAGGGCGTTCCAGACGAGAGGGAATGCTCTCTCTGGCGGGAGGCAGGGCGGGCCCGGAGGGGGGGCAGCACATGCACAGGCGTGCGATGACGGCAGCATGAGCGCACGCGCGGCGCACGCCCGCAGCGCACAGGGTTTGCATCCTTCGCTCTCCTTGCCCTCCTCCTGCGACGCTCGCAACCCCATTTCCTTCCCACTTCCTCCGCTATTGTCTCCCTCCTCTAACTCGAGCTCCACTGCCTCCACTTTCTCTGTCCGATGGACCGAACGAACGGTCGTTACCGAGCCTCGCCTGGTTCGTCCTCCCGCGTAGCTAAATACAGTTAGCCGAACCGGATCCCCACGTGTTAGCCACTACTATGACCTTTTGCAAACATTACGCTTCTTTGGCGACTTCCTACGGTCCTACCTTTGCCAATTTTGCCACTTCCAAACTGCGCCGCCGCCGCCACTGCCCGGGGCTCTCTTCGAGCTGGGGCCCGGCCCGGGTCACCTCCCATCAACCCTCTCCGCCTGACGGGCCCGGCCCGCGATTTCGCCCTTCTCCTGGCTATACGCTCTGTGATGCCGGCGATAGCAAACTAGCAGCCATTTTGCCACACCTCGTCATGTACCGTATCCGCCGGCAAACCGTGGACAGACCTGCGACCGTACCGGCGGGGCTTATAATTGTGTATGCTCCCCTCGCCCTCCCACCTCCCCCGGTTGGCTCCTACCGATAGCTGTCCAGTGTGTCCACGTCTGGGATTCTCATTCCTACCCGCGGTCAATCTGAGGTTAAGTCGTCGCCCCCGCCCGCCCCCCGCCCTCCCTCCCCCCGCCATCTCGCTCGCTCGCTCGCCCTCACTCGTTCGTTGGTTGCGTTAGAGTTAGGGCCGACACTAGAACAAGAACAGAGTCGTTTGGGCACGCGTCGCGATCTGTCTGTACGGTTCCCGACCCGTTCCTTGCCGACAACGGAGTTGTCATTTATGACTAGCCTTCGGCTTGTTTAATTTACCGCTTCTGCTGATTTATTATATCCCCGGATTAGTTTAACGACTTATTTTCACCCCGCGTAAGATCTTACCGTGGGGCACGACTCCCCGCCCTTCGTCCTCCTTTTGAACACTCGGCAGTAAATCTGTATAACATCTTTCTTCCCCGTCTCTTTTTCTCTCTCTCTCTCCCCCGGGCTTAGATTGTCTGAAATGGCGATTGTAATCGAGTTTAGATTAAGATGCTCTGTCCAAGGTCAGGCAGGAGAACTCAGGGCTTCAGGGCTCCTCTGGTCTAAGGTCAGGGCGATCCTGCATGGTTCTGGAGCGAGGCCCCAGCCCCCAAGGGAAGGAGGCTGATCTCTCTCTATCTCTCTTTTCTCTTACTTCCCCTCTCTCTCTCTCTTTCTCTATTATAGCCCTGCTCATCTATTCTTCTCTGTCTCATGGGGCTTCTCTGCTTCTCTTTTCTTTTTCTTCGTCTCTTCTCTGCCCTTTCTGCTCTGCCCGGTCGTCCTGCCTGCATGCCTGCTGACTGCCCAGAGCTGCCCTGGCTCTGGCGTGTGAAGAACAAATTCCCTTGCGCTCCGTTCCTTTTCCTTCACTTCAGATCAGAGTCTAGAGTCCAGAGTCCAGACGGCCCTGTGCGACATACAGTAGTGCGCACTGTGGGGCATACAGTAGATGTATAGTTGTGCATACAGTGGTACTACAGTTGTAGATACAGTACGAGAACCACAAGTACTGATGCTGCTGTAATAATAGTAGTCATCATCATCAGCATCTATTCTTCTGCTGCCCCTGCCGCTCTCGTCTTGAGCACAGTTGTTCTTCTAGCCCCATGCTCCGGGGGGAGTCCGGCTCTTTGTTGCTTTGTTTGCTCGACACTGGAACACCCAGCGACCCAGGACTCCTGAGACCAGCCTTGGTTGTTCGGATTGATTGGACTTTTCTAGTGACCGAACAAGCGAACGGGACTGCCCCTACCAAGGCCCCCCGGGCTCTGCTGCGCTGGGCTGTGTCTGCATCGTTTGCGACCTTTTGATCCGTCTTACCGTCTGATCTTACCCCTAGAGCAGCGCAGCAGTGGGAGCTACGGCTAGATGGATAGATATTCCCCTATTCCTCCTACGCACGCTATTCCAGTGACTGTGAACCAGAATGAGCAACTAGGAAAAGGAGAGGGAATGAATGACTCGACGACGACGGAGGGAATGAGTGTGTGCGAGTGAGTAAATGAATGAACGAGCGGCCAAGGGAAGACCTCGTGGAGACCTGTTCTTTGCTGCTGCTGCTTCTGCTGCCGCTGTCTGGCTGCTGTATCTTCTGCTGCTTCTCCTTCCATTCTGATCTTTCTGTTCTTCGCCTTCTTCTTCCATTCCTGCTGCGCCTCCTACCATCCCGAAGAAATGATTGAGGGCCAGAAGTGGGGGAAGCGGCCCGCAGAACTTGAGGCTCATCAGTGCCAAGAGTTTCTATTCCCCTTGACTGGTCATGGGCTCTCGTTAAGCACGAATAAATTTATATAAAAGCTCTTGTACTATTTTTTGCACCCTTACTTTTGAATATCATTAAAGCTTCATTGTGATGATGTCATATCTTGCTAACTCGGATAAATTACCATTAATCTTAACGCAAAGTCACAATTTTAGAAAAAAATGATATTTCTATCATTCTAATTTATTAATTTGCCTGTAATTTTTAGTTCTAGAATATCACATTCATTACAATTTATTTATATACCATAGTATATATAGTAGAAAGTTAGATGTGAATCATTATATTGTGTCATGAGCATTAGGCAATTCAGTAAGCTTGTATATCACCCCAACCCATTCAATGGTAGTAATGCATCAGTGCAAGTTGCTCTTACAACATTGATTATAACTTGGAGAATATATATAGAGAGAGAGAGAGAGTTAGCTGAAATTCATCATATGATATGCAGGAGTAAATAAAATGGAAATGATTTTTTAAAAGAAATTAAATGTCATCATTTCTCAGATACACATCAATTTCTAATAGACGAGCATGTTAACAATGTATCAAAATCAGCTTAAAAATCAAAGAAATAAGAATGTATTTAAAGAACCTTATATCTATCTTTCTGGTTGCAAAAATATTTTGTGGAATGTACACAGGATTTATACTCTAACATTTAAAATTGGAATTAAGCTAAGATTTTTTATGGAAACAGAAGAAAAAATCTATTAACATTACTGTTTAATTATTGATATAATCTACAAAAAATTTCAAGGTTGATCGTGATATAGATTGACCATGATTTTTATAAAATTATTTGAAATATACTTTAATCCTTAACTCTATTCAAATTCATTGTCCAAAAGCAATAAAATGTAATGTAAAGAATTTTAAGATGTTTTTTGTAATCAATATGCTTATTCAGTTAAATTTTATCTTTAAATATAAACCAAAATATAGATAAAGAATTAAAAAATCCAAATCAAAACTGGGAATCATGCATATTTAAGAAGAAATATACTCGTAGTAATTTTATACATGCTGTACAATTAATTTGACATGTATCGATGTATATGTATACACATGAAACACATAATATTTTGAAGATGTCTTTTATGAAGGTTTTATTAATTTAGATTAAAAAACTGGCTGTTAATTTGAAGCATTTTCAATAAGAAAATCATAGAAAATTGAATTTCTATATGCAGATAAAATTTGAAATATTGACCTTAACGAAATATTTCATGAAAGAAAATATCTACATATTAATTTATTCTAATTTTACCTACATGGATTGGCTAATGATAAATTTGAAATAATTACAATTTGTAGCTTAAAATTTTACATTCATTATCATACATATTTTTTTATCCTGAAATTCCCATATTGTTTTTTTTAATCTAGTCAATCGCTTTTACATATTTGCATAACGTTGAATAGAATTCAACTAATAAACTAATGATTTCAAAAAATAAAATTATTAATTTATTTTATTTCAAATAATACTTAAGTTATGATTTTGAAAAGTCCTTGCATTCATCTTGTTGTGAAGCTGATTAGGTCAACATGTTCAATACTTGTTTGAAATCTTGATTCTTTTAATATTTATTTGAACACGATTACTGAATGGATGTTTTCTCATTTAAATATCAATTTATATTATTTTCTATAGTCTAAGATTTTTCTTAATACAATAAAAATCTATAAAATTAGATTTGGCGTATAAAATGTCATTTCAAATATATATTTTCCTTTTTCTTATGAAAAAGGGTTCTCTTGTAATGCATTATTTTTAGAGAGAATCATTAGATCATATCATAATTACAGAAAATTATAGTTTTTCTAATACAATTTCGTACACTAATAAATCATCATATTGGTTAAAATTTTACTTTTTTTAACAATGGGAGCTTTAAAAGATTTAAAAATACTGTATAATTTGATTTGATGTGATTTTTTATATTTGTGTGTATATATAAGCGTACAATATTCCAATGGAAGTTTTATTCGGCATATGTCTCTACACAAAAGTAAAAGGAAACAGGACCCACTTCTTGAGAGTCTTGCAACAGTTTTTGCTGTCGTGACTTGGATGTTTGGAGATGATTCATGAAGTTGTCATTTTCAATGTGTATAAGTAGATGCTCTGGATGTATTTTGTACAAGACGCTACGTGTACATGATACTTTATTACTTTCTTTTGTTTCCTTTTGTCGCTCTAAGTCGTCTTTGGAAAATAGCATACTTTTATTTATCCCAAGGCACTGAAACGTTTTGGTTTCCACTGGGGTGCAAGACAAAATGAAAGTTTGTTTAGTGTATTTTGCACGAATGGAAAATGCGGGAATGGATCACATGGGCACGTTGCTTGAACATTTGACATTCCGCCAAGATTACTTTACCTCCGAAGGGGAGACGCCTCCGGCGAACAGCCCGTTGGAATGCTTGGCCGGCATTTTCCCAGGCCGTCGGCTGGGGCTTCTTTCTCTTGGAAACCAATCCGGTGCGTCTCGGAATCAATTATAATCTACGGCGGACCGGCGGCCGGGGCTAGATGGAACTCGAGAAAACCCCGTAGATCGCCGGGCGGGGAGAGAAAGGTGCGGACACTCCGCGGCAAGTTTCGCCGGGCAGCTCAGCTCAGGGCGGTCTCAGGCAGGCAAGCTGTCTCGAGTTAGCAGCGGGTCAAAACGCAGGGGGTTGAAGGGGGTTGAAGGGCAGGACGGACACGCGTGGAAAAGAAAGAAGCGGGGGGAGGAGGAGGAGGAGGAGGGGGAGGAACTCAACGAACTTTGGCAGGACATGGGAGGGGGGAGGGGATAGGAAAGCTAAGGATGATCAGGAAAGAGACGGGATCCGCTAGAAAGAGAAAGGGGGGAGAGGGAGAGGGAGAGGGAGGAGGAGCAGTGGCAGAGATTTCGAAAACCGGGCAGGGAAATCGCGAGAATCGCGATATCTGATGAGTTGATGACGCCCCATGGGTGGATGCGTGGATGATGGGCATCCATCCATCAGCATCTGGTGTTAATATTGGTGAGTCGAGGGTTTTGGGGATCCGCGAGCCTGGTCAATGGTAGGGCTTAGTCGAAGCCCATAGGCCAACACTTTCATCGCTCGGGGCTTGTAGATAGACACTACACTACTACCCCCATAGAACAGGCCCGCATTTTGAGAAAAGGCTGTGACGAGTCCTCAAGAATCACCTCCTCCATTTTTTCCCCCTTCTGCGCCTCGCAAAGCCAAGAATTGTGCAAACCCACATTACTTCCCACACTGGGGGGACATAAAGGGACCAGCTCCTGCCCTGCCCTGCCCCTTCCCCCGTCCCGCATAGAATAATATTATTGTTGCCACAGCTGCGCGTC